AATGATTTGTCTCCTTTATTGACGATCACACTAGAATAACTTGGGTCTATTTGATGAAAGAAAAATATAAAGTTAGTGAAATCTTTCAAAAATTCAACACTATGATTCAAACCCAATTTCAAACAAAAATACAAGTGTTGAAAATAGATAATGCATGTGAATATTTTGCATCCAACCTAGTCAAATTCCTTTCTTGCCAATGTATTGTCCATCAAAGTTCTTGTCCCTACACCCTTCAACAAAATAGTGTGGTCGAAAGGAAAAATAAATACATTCTTGAAGTATCCCATTCACTCATATTTACCATATATATCCCTAAGTATCTTTGGGGAGAGACTATCCTCACAGCTACATATATGATCAACAGAATGTCCTCCCATATCCTTAAGTTTAAAACACCTTATAATTCAATACTTCAAGCATTCCCAACATCGCACATCCTTCACACAATTCCGTTTAAAGTCTCTGGTTGTTCTTCTTATGTTCACATTCACAGTCATCTTAGAGAAAAACTTGATCTTAAAACCCCTCAAATGTGTTTTTGTCAGGTATTCCAATTCTAAAAAAGATTACAAATATTTTTGTCCAGTAACCCGCCGGTTCTATAACACTATAGATGTTATCTTCTTTGAGAACCAACATTTTTATCTCACTCTTGATATTCAGAGGGAGACATCTGGAATTCAGAAATATCAATTTGTAGGATGTGAATATCCTTCCTCTATAGACTCCATTGACAACTTCAGAAAAAGATCATGTTCCTGAAACCACCAAAGAACTTGAACTTATCACAGAGACTTATAACACATTACCTGCAGTTAGTGAGTTGCGTGTCTATATAAGGAGGAACAAAACTCAAGGTAAAGATAAAGTACCTAAACCATCTATATTCTGTCATGACTGAACTCCTGAACCAAGCACCCATAATAACACAGGTAATGAGATTTCTTACTCTACTGATGATATTGGTTTATTTATTGTATTACGAAAGGGTATTCGTTCTTGTACTATGCGTCCCATATAGGATCATGTCTCTTATGGCAAGCTATCTTCGAAGTATCATGCATTTGTTAGCAAGTTTGATAGCATCTTTCCTGAACCAAGAACAGTTCATGAAGTTCTCAAGATTCTTGAATAGAATGCTGCTATCCAAGAAGAAATTTCAGCCCTTGAGAAAAATAGGACATGAGAATTATCTAATCTACCTTCAGGAAAGGCTCCTGTTGGATGCAAGTGGATCTTCACCACCAAGTACAATCCTAATGGTAGTGTAAGCCACTACAAAGCTCGACTTGTTGCTAAAAGGTTTACTCAATCATATGACATCGACTATAAAGAGATTTTTGTTCATGTTGCCAAACACAACACAATTCGGGTATTATTCTCTTTAGTATCTAATCTTGATTGGCTTTTCTATCAACTTGATATAAAAAATGATTTCCTTAATGGTGACCTAGAGGAAGAAGTGTTCATGGAAGTCCCACTTGGACTCAAAATGAATCCTCAAAAGCTATGCAAATTAAAGAAGGCACTGTATGGCCTCAAATAGTCTTTAAGAGCTTGGTTTGACAGATTTACCAGGGCAGTAAAACACATGCGATATCAGCAATGTCAATCCGATCATACCTTGTTTGTCAAACATTGTATCACAGGGAGAAGAGCTATACTAATTGTTTATATGGATGATATTATCCTTACAGTTGATCACAGTGAAGAAATTCAAAAACTGAAAGACTTTCTAGCTAGAGAATTTGAAATTAAAGACCTTGGGTTGCTCAAGTATTTCCTTGGAATGGAAATTGCCAGATTCAAGAAAAAAATTTTTATATCTCAACGGAAGTACATTTTAGATCTCTTGAATGAAACAGGTATACTTGGTTGTAAACCTGCTGAGACTCTTATGGAAACAAACACTAAACTTGGTTCCAAAAGTGACAGTAAACCTTTGATAAAGAAATGTATCAAAGTTTTATAGGTAAACTTATGTACTTAACTCATACAAGACCTGACATCTGCTTCACTGTTAGTATTGTGAGTCAGTTCATGTCTCAACCTACTGAAGAACACATGTGTGCTGTTTATCGTATTCTGAGGTATCTAAATATGATATCTAGATATGAATTATTCTTTCAGAAGAATATGGTCAGAGATATTGAGATCTATACTGATGTTAATTAGGCTGGATCTGTAACAGATAGAAGATCTACATATGGTTACTCCTCTTATGTTTAGGGTAATTTAGTCATTTGACATAGTAAGAAGTAATATATTGTATCAGGAAGCAGCATTGAAGCTGAATTACGATCACTTGCACATGGAATATGTGAGGGAGTATGACTTAAAAAGATTCTACTAGAACTAAGATTTTCTGCTCCTATTGCAATGAGAATTTGGTGTGATAATCAATCAACTATTAGCATGGCCAAGAACCTTGTACACCATGACAGAACTAAACATATTGAAATTGATCGTCACTTCATCAGAGAAAAAATTAAAAGTTCGGATGTGTCACTCCTATACATCCCGACTAGTCAACAAACAACTGACATA